TGGAAACTAAATGGAATCGCCTATACCTAAAACAAATTTAAAAAAAAAAAAAAATCCAAATTTTTACCTTTTCAGCATTCCCTATCCTTTGTGTGCATGTGTAATTGCAGCAACATTAACATCACCTTTGTTTGAAGTCCTAAAGGACAAAATGTGCCACGCAAAAAAATTGTTTTTCACATTGTCATAGATTTTCCTAATATCTCTCTCTCTCTCTCTCTATATATATATATATATATATATATATATATACACACACTTTCAGATAACTTATCCAGACAATTTCATAGACACTTAGAAATCCACTGGAGATTAGATATATAAGTAAATTAAAGTTATATATCTACAGATTACCTAAATTTTGAATTTGTTCAGTTATATCTAACTCATGTAAAATATAGATAGATATTAAATATAAATAGAATGGGTATTTTATTTATTTTATTTTTTTTTGGTTTTAGTTTTTCATATTTTATTAAATTTTAATATTACACACATTGCAAGAACAATAAAAGCAACTCTGCTACCTGATATAGATTTATTTAAGATTTTAGTCTTAAACTTTTCTGTTGTAATTTTTATGTCCTTGACTTTGCTTCTCTGCCAAAGGGTTGAATGAACTTTTTTCTTGTTTTGGTCAATGTTAAAAACATCTCTTTTTCTCACTTTTCTGCTCACTATAATCCATCTGCACAACAAAAATCATCTACTGATGCAATTTGTTCAAGGGAAACTTCTCGTGTTTTATTATTTAGTCCACCTTGAGACACTCAAATATCACTTATAAGTGTGCTTGGGTTTAATATTTTATTTTTATTTCTAATCATTTCACCTCAAGCAAGGCAATAAAGCCACTAAGATGCAGAGAGAGAAACAGCGAAAACATTGAGGAGAAAGGACAATAAAAGAATCTGGATTCAAAATGACGGAAGATGATTGATGTCGCTCTTAAAATTTTGAAGAGTGTAGTCGACTGAAAAGCTAGAATCTGGAAGAGTATCATGTGCAAGAAGTGTGAGAGAAAAAAATAGAATATATTATGTTTACAAAACATCTACAAAGTTGACTTTGGAATTTACATTCACACAGTTGTAAAAGTGAAAACAAAATTATTAAAAGAAAATTAGTATCTTGGCATAATTTAAGTAAATACTATTTATTACATGTGGTAGGCCGTGTACATGGTGGATGCTGAGATGGACATGTAACATATCATAGCAGTGTTGTCGTTGCTAACCTGTGAACATTTACAATGTGAGAATCAATGAACCTTTGTTTGCAGTGTAAGACTAAGTATCGTCATTAGTAGCACTAATAATTTTTTTTATTTCCTTTTTGTGAGAATCAAATCACAAAAGATGTTGCCAAATGTCTGTGTAATAAACTGAAGAGAACTTTGATTCACAATATTATGTTGTTTCATTTACTATACTCACTACTTGAGGCGTATTAGAGCCACAGTTCTCTCACCCTTGTAGACTTCTCTGAGAAGTATGGGGCCCACAGTTCTCAGCACACCAAGCATTGTTGTTTCTATAGCATATAGTAGGTTTTACAATATTGAGTTGCTAGACCGATACTGAACTGGTTTTGAATTCACTTGTCCTTCTAGATTGGTTACCAGCCACAGCTAAAGAGCTCTGTTTGCTATTTAACCTATATGTGTGGGAAGAAGAGATGGATTTATACCTTTTTCAAGGGTATTTATATGTAAGTGAATGCAGTGAACTTGATTGGAATTTAAACTTGGCTATCCGTTACATGCCCCACAAATTCATTTACTATAGACAGAAAACAAGAAAGCTCTATCAAACTTGAAATGAATCTGTTTGGATAAAACTAAAATTTAATAAGTGTTGGGTGGCTGTTAAATATGAATAGATAGATTATCTACCTTGTTTTTAATTCTTTATCTTCTTCTTTTTTTTTTTTTTTTCTAATTTTCCCACTTCTGTACTGGCAGTGGAAGGTGGGGATGTTGTGTGACATTTTGGATGATTTTCATTGAGAACCAGGAAAAAAAAACAAACAAAAAAACAAAAGTTAATCCTGTTTGCAGTAACTGCTTGCTTCTCTGTAATTTATTGGTCAGCCATCTTGTTACCGCCATGTTGTCTGTCTGATTTGTTATTCAATAAGAATTCAGAAATACTGGAGAAGAATTTTTAAACTGCTCACTTATCTGAAATTTTTGAGGTTTCAATTCGTAATCCTGTTTTTTTCAAATAGAATTGGTTTAAAAACAAAACTAACACTGGATTACTGGATTATCTGGTAAGTGATAATATTCTAATAAATTTTTGTCCATTGACTGATCATCTATGATTTGTATTTTTTTTTTTTTTTTTTCACCTGATGTGGTTCACATAAATAAAAATTTAACTTTGAAATGCAAATGAGTATTTAATGAAAGCATTTTCCTCATTGTTATAAATTCTGCGAATGCTTTTTCAACAATGTCTTGCATAAAATTATTTTTGTTCTTGTCAGCATGCATTATACATTGAGCAAATGTCGAACAGTTGTCACAATCCAAGCTTACCTCTAGATTATATTCAGGTATTTTCTTTGATAGCTTGGATTATTTTTAATTTTTGACAAGAAGTTTGGTTATTTAAAATGGCAATGTATTTGAACAATTCGATGTTGTGTTTTTTTTTTTTTTTTTTTAAATATGTTAGTTCTTCACAAACGTATGTATGTATCATTGAGCTAAACTTAACTATGGCAGTTCATTGACTAATTCAATTTTAGCTTTTTGGTTCATCAGACTGTGAGTGCCAGAATAATATAGAAGATAAAAGGGAACTAGCTGATGAGTTGCTATAATTAATTTTACTTGTGTTTTTGATTACTGTTTTCTTTTTAAAGCTTTGAGCACTTTTGTGTGTTTGTTTTTTGTTTTATTGTGTATTATGCATTTAAGGTGTAAAATTTTCTTTTTATGTACCTTTTCATTGCTTTTTTATGCTTAAGTTCTTTCAGTACAAGGCTCAAAAGCCTCTCAAGGTATAGGGTTGTTGTTAAAATAGTAAAGATGAATGAATTGTGATATGAGTGAAGGAAAAGGTTTTAGAAAGTGAAGATTATGAAGTTATATGCATGTTTCATTAAAAACGACAGACAAGGTACTATGGTTATGCTTTTTATTTAATTTTTCTTGTGTTCGCACAAGCGCTTTCTTTTTTGGAGACAGAGTATAGAAACTGTCCAAATGTTCTATAGTTCTGAGCGCTTTCAGCTATACTTTTAGCCATTATCAAGGATTATTTTTTTTCAGTTTAATTGAGTGTGTGCGTTGTGTATGTTTTTAGTGTGTTATAGAGATAATTTTATTTGTGGCCTAGTTTGTGGTTAATAATGTTAAGAGTTAGCTTTTTCTTTTTTATTATTAGGGCTTCCATTATTTTTAATCATTTATTACAGATGATTGAGGTTATGTTTGTGTTTTCTACTAGTATATTTTGGTTAGTCTGGTAGGCTTGTGTGTGTGTTTAAATGGGTTCTAATAGAGCTCTGGTCAGATAGGTGTAACGTAAGGTGTCTGGATAGGCATGTAGTTGTGTGACTGATGTAATTATTTATAAGTTTGGTTTGATCTGGAACACAGTTCCTTAAGGGGCGTTTGAACTCATAGAACTGGGCCACAATGTGCTAACCATGTTCAGGAAATAAAACATCTCTATAACACACTAAAACATACACATAATGCACACACTCAATTAAACTGAAAAAATAAAATCATCCTTGATAATCGCTAAAAGTATAGCCAAAAGCGCTCGGAACTATAGAACATTTGGACAGTTTCTACATACTGTCCAAAAAAGAGAGCTCTTGTGAGGACACAAGAAAAATTAAATAAAAAGCTGAACTGTAGTATCTTCTCTGTTGTTAATTAAACATGTATAAATGAACGGTTGCTGCCTAAATACACTATATATATATATATATATATATATATATATATGCACACACACACAGTAAAAGCTAAAGTTTAAAATATAAAATAAACCAAGGGCTCAATATATTCTTGTGTTTATTTGAAGGTGGTTACAGGTAAAATCTGATACCTGATAAATTACATAAATATTTTTACTAATCTTCAATTTATGAACTTAATATTTATGAATATTTTGCAAACCTGACCCATGTATATTTGACTCTCAGATATTAGCTATTGCCAGGAAACTTTGCTTATAAGATGATCAAATCAGGTGCTACAGATCTCTATTCTTAGTGTTTGAAAGAAATGCGAATTGGAAAAGTTAATTATCTTTGATCTCACTTGGGTGAGGATAGGATTCTGTAGTATACAGCAATTGCCCTATAAATAAATAACCTAAAATCAATTTACTATGGCTGTTAGATGAGCTGATAGGGGTTTCTATCTAAAGTTTTGAATTATATTGGTAACTCATGAATAAGAACCTTGAAGTCAAAGCAAACAAAAGATCTTTAAACTTTTACTATGCAATTAAGAGCTCTGGTATGCACGCATATTTTTGTTCTTTCTAACCATAAAAGATGGCATTTATTAAGATAGAGGAAGCTGGCTTAAATAAAATGCTTTTAAAAATAAAAAAAAGGAAATGAATTTTTGAATGACACTACTGTGTATATTGCTTTTTAAAATTCTTTACTAAATTGTGTAATTTTTGTTTTTGTAAATTTCTTGCTTTAGATGAAGACAAAGGAGTAAAAAAAGATCACAAAAATTTAGCATCCATTTTTAACTGAAGGGAGAAAATTGCAGAGACTAAATTAGCAAAAATGATGTAAAATTTTATATGATATTAATGTAATTTTGTTTTATTAATTAAGCATTTATTTTTCCTTTCCTCAATTTTCTGTTATATTTGTAAAATCCATTTACCTACTTATTTGGGTTCAAATGGAATTGAGCTTATGGCCATATCACATTGAAACACCGGTTCTTGTACAGGTACCAAAGTTAAGCAACATCAAGCATTAAGCTTGGATGTGTGGGTAATGTAATGGGCTTATGGTCATATCATGGTGAAGTGCAGGTTCTCATAGGATCACCAAAGTTAAGCAATGTTGAGCCTGGTCAGTACCTAGATGGGTGACCACTTGGGAATACCAGGTGCTGTATCAGTGGGGTAAACAATAATGGCTCAGAATTGGAAATCAGAGAGCAGAGTTCCAGTTCTAGTCAGGTTTGTTATATTCACTTACACACAAATCCCCTTTGGGGGGAAGTTATGAATCTACTTCTACTCTGCCTAGCCATGGATTAATTATTAGGACTTGTATCCATAAATCATTATCTCCATAAAATTCTTACAATCAAAAAATATTTAATGCCTTTTGATAACCTGCAAAAGGTTGATAAGCCATAAAATAAAACGTCAATTATTCAACCTGAATAATTATAAATAATGAAAAAAAAAATTTTTTTTTTATACTTGAGAAGTCATTGTGATTTAACAATATTAGCAGTGTTGTTTGCCTAAATTTTATTTTTTTTATTTGATTAAATAATGATTTTTTTCACTTTTATTTTGTTTTAAATTACAGATTGATCTTTTTTATTTACAGTCATTAATTTAGGAAAAAAACTTTAGTGCAAAACAAATAAGGATGATCTCCTCTTTATATAGAATTGATGAATATGGAGATAATTTTTTTTTTATAATGATGTTCATCAAGAGCTGCTCAAAAATGAAATAGCAGACCATAAAAATACTTTTCATCTGTTTTATAATAGTGAAGAGTAAAAGTAGTCAACTGTTGATCATTGATGACTTCTTTCTTTCTTTTTTTTTTTCTTTTTTTTCTTTTTGGTTATGAATACGCTATAAACTGACATTTTGTTATTGTTTGGCTTGCATCTGATTTAAAGCATTAGCAAGAAGTTCATTCATTACTCACAATTTCTACAAGCTCATTATCAACCTGCTGTAAGCACCAGGAAGTGTGGTGTGTGGTTGAACTGAGGGAGACACGACTAAGCCAAGGATTATATCTACAAAGTCTGTTTAATTAGTTGAGCAAGATAAGAGAATTGATGTAATTGAGAGGAGGTCTATCCATGTCCCTGTTGTAGACACATGTCACTTAAAAGGCAGTCTGCATATTGGATGGTAGGGCTGGAGAGCATTTCTTTTTTACAGATGGCTGTGCACACAGATTGCTAATTTGTGTGCTTAAACAATTCAGCTTTAATCAAATTGAAACTGACTATTGTCAAGGGGAAGAGGAGGACACAATTACACCAGTTATTTGGTAAAATGGACAAAAGATAGTTAAAAGTGGATACAGCAGGTAGATCGATTCTGTTTGGATATTTGAAAATTGGTTCTTTTATATTTATAACCAGCACATGCAACTAAGGAAAAAAAAATGGGAAGGAGAGAAATATTTACTAGGCTGATATGTAATGGTTTGTAAATAATTTTAATTAAATGTGGGGAAAATTTCTTTAGTGTACACATGCCGAAATCATTGTCAGTGTGACAATGAAGACACAGAAAAAAACAGGAAATATACAAAGTAACATTGAAGTGAATATATTTTCAACAAAGTTGGTAAAGGAATGTCAAAATGCCAAAGCAATCCATGGCTGCCAAAACTCTGCTTTCAAATTATTTAAAACCAGTGATAACAAACTTCATAGTACCTTTACCAAAAGACTTCAGGTTTGTATGAAGGAAAATGTTCATGTTGTAGTTTTTTTTTTTTTTTTGTTTTTGTTTGTTTTTTTTTTTTTTTTTTTAACTGAAAGCCAGAATGAAATTGAAATGGCTAGCAATTATCTGAAAATCTAAGCTAAATTAGTTTAATTCTGTCACCTCTATTTCTGACAACTAAGTCTTTGTTGTTTTATATCAATATTTCTACTGAGATGTTCTTCAGCCTTTTGCATTTGGTTTCCAATAAATCTCTTGCTTTTCTTTCTTTCTTTCTTTCTTTTAAATTCTTGTTAAGGAAGATTTTAAAAAATAGATGAAGAAATTGATTCAGTAGAAATTGATTCATTTTGAATTAATCATTATCTGAATATTGTTATTGTTAATATTGAATTCAGTATTTGTTATTATTATTGCTTTGTATACTTTAAAATTGTTTTCATTTATTTTCTAATATTTTGCTTTCATAAATAGTCAGATATATGCAAGTAAATGTTTTCACAATCAAATTGTTTGTATTGGTAAGATTTTCAGCATATACTGGTATTTACATCAGCACTACATTGTATATATTTCAGCTTAGAATATCTGTCCCTATTAAAAATAACTTGATTTGGTAGTGCCATATTTTTATTATGCAAACTAAGTGCCAAATAAATGTTTCTTTATAAATAAACCCAAGAGAGATTTGCCATAGGAACATTTGATTAACACAATATCCCAAAATACATGAATAAATTATTTTATTATCTGACATGTAATTCTGGGATCCTTAACATTCTCGTACTTTCATCACTGTTTTTCATTCATTGATTTTGTTAATTTTTTTTTTATTCTTTTGTCTTTAGCATGACTTGCAATTTTTTTTTTTTTTTGCTTCCCAAAGATTCTCTTTACATGAATATTGTTTTCCATTTTCATATACATTTCTTTTAATGATTGGCTACAACTTTTCTATTGGGTTAATATCTGGTGAGGTTTGGTTCGTTCCATTGAATTAGTATCTTTGAAGCCTTTTTGTCATACTTAACTTTACAGAATGTGATGGAGCATTATCTTATACAACTCTCTAGCTGAAATTTCCTTGGTTATGACCTGAATCACTCCATAAAATGTCTTGACCAAGAACTTCTAAGAATTCTCTACATTTATCTTAAGCCTTCATCATTTTGAAAGGATCTATAATTTTACTGCCATCAATACTAGTCCAACACATTACTCCACTTCTGCCCTTGTTATCTTTTATGTTGGTTGACTCTTTCTCTGAAGGGCAATATAAATTTTTATTTATAAATAAATCCAAAAGATACAGGCCTTTGAAACATATATTTAACACAATATCCCAAAATACATGAATAAATTATTTTATTATTTGACATGTTAATGAGATCCTTGAAATTCTCCTCTTTTCGTCAGTTTTTCTTTCATTCTCATGTACATGTCTTTTAATGATGAGCCATGACTATTGGATTAATATCTGGAGAGGTTTGGCGACAGTCTATTAATATCTTTGCAACCTTTTTGGCAAAATGGGTAACAATCGGCTTTGCTGAATGTGGAAAGAGCATAAGCTTTATCTTGTGACTTGTACCAATTCAGAAACATCTTTTCCATGAACTTATAATAATTCTCAGCATTTGTCTTGGTACCATCAACTTTGAAGGTAGATATAAATTTTAGTGCCTACAATACAAGCCCAAAACATTGATCTAGCCTGCTCTATTGTCATCTAAGGCATGCTAGTTGACTATTTCCATTAAAAAAGAAAACGATCCATCACGTCCATTCAATATAACTCTACATTAATCATTAAAAAATTACTGTTGAAAAACTAGTTTTCATGCACTTTGCCAAAATTACATATTTCTTTTTATGAAGCTGATATTTTGGCTGTTTGATATTTTCAGCCAATGTTTTTAATATTCTGCATCTTTTCTCTTTGTTTATATTTTACAATACAAACATCTTCAAATATTTTCTTGCTGGTTAATTCACTTTTCTTGCCTATTATACTTTTTAATTTTAACCTTGACTTGCATAATAAAATCTGACATTTTAAACATAACCCAGACTAATAAATAACATTGAATATCAGTGTTTGATGAGAAGCTGATTCACTCTCCCCAACACATTTTGAATTATGTTTGTGAATTTTATTTGTTTTCCATAACTATTACAATGTTTTCTTTTGTCATTTAAGCTTAATATTAAGTCATTTATGAAATGTAATTAATACAAGAGATAATTAACTGGAACATTTTTATTTTTAAACATACTATCTTCTAAAATGCATTTATAAATCTTTTGAAAAATATACCATGTTTGAAATCTTTAACAATTCATTAGTATTTTAAATCATTTTAGGTGAAAAAAGTTAGGAATTGAAATGGACCACAAAGTGTTTGACATGGTTATCTTTCCTGAATATAAGCTGAAGGCCAGCTTAAATATTGGGCTATTTTTAACGATATTTTAAAAGATTTGAATTTAGTTTTTGACTTTTTCTTTAATTTGTTCTTTTTTTTTTTTTTTAATTTTCTTCTGTTATAGTGAATGCATTTTCAATGTTGTCAATATTTCAAATTTTACGCATTTCTCGGAATTGTTTAAAAAAAAGAAAAAAAGGAATAACAGCCTCTTTTTCCAAACTACTTGAGCATATTCACTCCTTTTAAAAACTTTAATTTTAAAAAATTCACTAATTGAAAACTTGTATAATTATTGTTAATGATAGTGTACATTACTCTGCTTTTACTAACATTGAAATCCCCATTCAGAAAATAGATAAGCTGCTTAAATGTCCCAATTTGTGGCTTAAAACTGCTTAGTTTTATGCCATTAATCTATCTATCTAACCAAATTCTCTTCCCCACTTTGTGATTATCTTGACACCAGAACTTACTGACAAATGTAAGAAATTATATACTGACTGATTCTTATTGATGAAAAGTCAATCCGCTGTATCAGAATTAGATTAAACTGTGTTATTAGGTTGTGATGAAAATATTGAGTCTTTGTTTTGATTCTGTGTACTTTTTAAATATTGAAAAAGTGTTTCATATGTACAAAGAATTGTGATTAAAAACAACAAAAGATGAAACTAAGAGTGAAAAAATGTGGGATGACATTAATCTCTGAACTTCAGGCAACTTAGTAGTCAATTAAAAGTGATATGAATTAAATATGGGGCTTACAACTGTCAGCCTCTTGTATAAATAAGCATGGTGTAGCAAGCATCCATGGAGTTCAAATGTTGTCTGAAACACCTTTGCCCATATTCTCTCAAATTAATTTGAAGGCTGAAGAAAATACTAGCTGAATGCACTTTTTATCTAAGTAAAAGAATGTGTGTAATAGGAATATCATTTCTTAGAACTTTGGGTAACTTAAATTCATATGAAGTGAGTCATTTTTAATATTAACAAGATTTAAATATTTCTCATGATCATGATTTTAATGGCATTAAATTCAGATATTCAATATTTAATAGGAGATAAAGTACTTAATGGTGTTAAACTCAGATGTCAAATATTTAATGATGTCAATATTTACCTTGTTATAAAAATATAATAATTATTTCTGATTTAACTTTTGCTAAAATGAATGTCTTGGTAAAAACAAAAAAAAAAACGAAAGCTAATTCTATCAAGTTGTGCATATGTTGTGATGGTGGAAATTGTCTTTCATATTTTTTTTTCTACTGAAATAAAAATTTGTTGCAGTGGGGAAAAAAACTCAATCATAATTTTATTTTTTTCTCACATTTTAGCCAAAAGTATGCATTTTTGTTTCTATTAATTTATAACACAAAATCTTTTTTCTTTTTCTTTTTTTTTTTTTTTTTTCCTTTTTTAATATTTTCAATAGAATAACATTTACCTGGAAAACAATATTGGTTTTACACGACTCCTGTTTGTCCACCAGATGTAGTCAGTTTTGGCAGAAAGTATTTCTGCCAAAACAATTCCAAAGAATTGCAGTTGGGTTTACCTGTCCATAAAAGTGTTTTCTTTTATTTATTGGTGTTTATCTTGGCACCTAAAACTGGTTCTTAAGAATCTCCCATAACCTTTCTCTAAATTGTCAGTCTTCATGGATAAATATAGAAAAATTTTTTACAAAAAACTGTAAAAAAAAAAAAAAAACATTTGTAAGAGAAAATTGAAGAAAATTAAAATTTTTAATTCCGCACAAACCATGAAAAAATTTTCAAAGAAAAATGAGTGAAAACTTAGAATATTACTACCACTGTCCCATAATAGTTGTAACATTTGCATACATTTTTTGTGCACTGTAACAACTATTATGGGACAGATGTTGTTTAATTTATTGCAGTTAGTTACAATAGCTCTTATTCTGTTAATTTTTACTTGTAAAGAAATGAATCATTAAATTGTTTTCTTTGTTATTTGAGGCACAAAAAACATTAATAAACTGCAGACAAGTTGTTGGGTCTTAATAGTTTTTGTGCATGGATGCATGCATGCATAGCTGTGTTTTTTTTTTTTTTTTTGTTGAGCCTCAGGACTGGGAATAATTTTGCACAAAGCAAGGTGGGTACTGCATGACAAATGATTAATCATAATGATTTGAAGCAATGTTTTACAAGACCAGATGCTCTTCCTGACATCCAACTTGATACATTCACAGTAGTCTAAGTATGCCAATTGTTTTTAACAAGACACCATGTCTAGGAAAATTACCATTCAATGATAGAGATCCCATCCTATATATATATATATATATATATATATATATATATATATATATATATATATATATATATATAATAATAATAATAATAAAGGTTTGCTCTACTTCATGTATTGAGCACTCTTCGTAGTTGCTTTTACTTGTTTTGGAGGGTTTTTTTTCTTTGGACTCTGAACTTGAACTCTGGACGATTGTTTTCACCTCAGTTTCATGTTCTTAGTTTTTTTCTTTTTTTATTCCTCATTTTTCCTTGGGTACTGGTTTGTTCTACTACGAGCTGAAATACCCAATGTTTTTCCAAACGAGTACCACTATTATATATATATATATATATATATATATAGTAAAGGTAATAAATCCATTGGTATTTAATCCAAGTGGATCTTAGTAATTTAAAATATTAAAACTGATCCACAAAAAGTATTTATTATACAAAACAAATAGTAGTAAACCAATAAATTAAAGATTACCTTATATGGAGAGCATTTTCATAAAATTTTTTATTAAAGATGTTTATGTTGGACAATAATCAGCTAATCCTAGTGCTGACAATGGTGGCTATCAGTCTCACAATGTCATTAGGGTGATTAGAGTTAACTGACCACTGGCTCATGCCTTTCGTCTGACTGGTATAAATTTTTTGAATGCTGTCACAGTTACATTTCTAATCCTGACACAAACTCAGTCTGTATACCTGGGTTGAATAAGACTAATGAAGTTTCCATTGGTTGAAATAGGTCTATACCCCATGTAAGGTAATTTTGAATTTTCTGATCTACTACATACACACACAGACACACAAATGTGTGTGTATATATATATATATATATATATATATATATACACATATACACACACACACTGACTACTATAAGGTTTTTTTTGTTTTTTTTTATTTTTTTTCGTCCTGTGGGGTGACATGCCACCCATCCTCACCAGGAGAAAAGCTAGTGAGGGAGTTGATTTAGGCATCATCTACCAGTCCATGCAGCAGATTGTACTGGGTTACACATTACCAGTAGCAGGCCTAAACCTGACCTGACATGCACAGATATTAAAAAATAAACAAAAAAGGTGGAGAGGGGAGCTATATTTTTGTTCAGCTATAAGCATACTTGTGACATTTACTTTTTTTGTGATGTTTGAAAAAGAAAACTTTCTTTTTATTAGGGAACTATTCAAAACAAAAGGATTTTTTGTGTAAGGCATGATGGTCATTTGCACAGAAAATGGAATTAGCAGGCTGATTTAGCAGCTGTTACATTCACTAATGTCCTTGGGAAAGGCATGAATCTATCTTTTAGCTATGAGTAAAATAATAGTAGATTTTGGCTTTCTGGCTTTGGTTATCAACCAGCCAAGAACAACTTTGAACTCAAAATGATGCAGAAAGCAACAGGTAATCATTATAGTCCCTTTTCCTAAGAACACTTGTGGCAAATCAAGTATTTTAAAAAGAAAAGTTGTGGAAAGCCATGATCACCCACATACAAAAGGGATATGGCATTTGAAGAAAATAAAAGGCTTATTTTTGCTAAAATTGTTTTAAAGGTCAATAGTTGATTCTCTTTAAAATGCTGCAAAGATAACATTTCTAATACCATTTTCCTATTTTAACCAGCACAGCATGTAAGATACTAAAATAAGGTTAAAATTTTGGATTATATCAGTGTGACGTCATTGATGGTCCATAAAAGTGTTTGTAATCTTACCAGAGAGAAAAGTTTTAATTTTCTTTTCCAGGCTTATTTTTTTCTTTTTTTCTCTTTAAAGCCTAGTCGCCGCCGTCCTCTGCATGCCAACGAGAACCTTCCTTATGCCGCCCATACGCTGTCCTCAATGCGGAGAAGCCAAGCGTTCCGACATGAGGATTACCACAGAAAGCCCAAGTACGAACAGGATATTTCAAAACGATTTGAGAATTTCCGTGTGACTGTGGACAGTGCAAGTGGTGGGCAGAGGACCACCAGCAGGAGTGACGTGAAGAGGTCCGTGGAGATTAGGGATACCGATGCCAATGCCAATAAACTCGATCTGAAGCCTGTGTCAGTTTCCCTCTCCAAGAACAACCGCATGTTTCAAAAGGCTATGAAAGAGGCCATTTCAAGCAATGAGGTATTATTTCTCTCTTTTTACTGTTTTGCATTACAAATTAAATATTTCTGTTGAGCTAAGAAATAGCTTGATATAGATCAGGAAAAATATCTTTTAGTGCTAAAAAGAATAAATTTTCCTTTTAAACATACCCCCCCTACCACCACCACCAAAAAAAAAAAAAAAAATCTGGATATTTGATATTTTTAATTCAAAATTAATAGGGATTTAAGCTTTCTAATTCATTCTCAAATATAATTTTTCTCTCTAAGCAGAATTGAAAGTCTTAACTTTTTATAAACTGTTCTTTCATCTTCAATTCTAACATCTTTACCTCATAACTTATCCTGAACTTCACTCAAAAAGGGTCATTGGTCAACAGTACAGATTGGAAAGAAACTGATCATTTTTGATTTTCAGTCTGCTCTTTATTCACTTCAGGTGATTAACAGTTGTGAGGAAAAAAAAAAAAAAAAAAATATAATAAAAATATTAAGTACTTTGGTTAAGCAGCTAAACTCACCATGAATAATGATTTCAGCTCTTAATGACAATTAGAGAATGTAAACTTATATCCATCTTAATTCAACAAATACTGGAAAGTAATTTTTAAGCAATTGATGGATTTTTGAAAATTTTACTTTTTTAACTATAAATATTATATTTAGCAAGTACACATGCTTGAACAGAGATGCCTATTTTTTAAAATGTGAAATTAATATCTACCAGCCTAGAGATTAAAAGTCTTATTAAAATGAGTGTACCTCTTGACAGGAATTGAGTTGGTATTCTCTTTTTTTAAAAATCCAGGAAACCACCAAGCCAGATGTATTTTATCATTAAGCTACCAGAAGCTATCACAGCAAAGCAAGGCTCAATTACCCTATTTAAGTAATGCACTTCTTTCATTGGGAACTTTTCTCTGCATACATCAAATTGAGTACACATCCACTTATATTCCAAAAGGAATTAGAAACAAAATCAATTATCACACACACTCATACATCTTAACACATAGATCAGAATACAAAAATAAAACAGGATGTGCAGTGGTATATAGCAAGAAAGTAAAAAAAAAATAAGAAATATCTGTCAAAAGAAAGTACAATTTTCAAGGCAGTGATATGTGTAATTGACTTAGCACTTCACTTCATCTCAAGAAACAAAAGTAAAAAAATAGAAAAAAAGAAAAAAAATATATATACTATGACTCCCTATCAGTTATAACAGCAATAAAAAAAAAATAAAAAACAAAAAAAACTAGACAGCCCACTGCTGGTGAAATTGCTATGCATGCTGGATTCAATATCCAACAGTCAAGAAATAGTGGATATGCTGGATCGAAAGTCACATAAGAATTAGAGGAAATGACCAAGCAGATTCAGCTGCAAAGTCTACCCAAATTGAAACCCTTGATAATAATTTCAAAATCCCTTATACTGACCTAAAAATTAAAATACAGTTACAAAAATGGCGAAAACACTTAAGCAACAACACAATAAACTTTTCACAGTCAAACCATTCTTGGATGAATGAAAACAAATGTCTAGAGAAGGAAGAAAGGGTGAACTTAGCTTGACTACAAATAGGTCACACTAACCCTAACCCATTCATACTTTGCTAAAGAACGAAAATCAACTGACATGTACAACATGTCAAACTGCACTCCTGGTGAAACACATTTTAACTGAATGAATTCACTTAGCCCTTGTAAGATGCAAATACTCCAAGGAAACCAACATGAGAAATCTATTTTAAAATACTAAAACTCTCAAAATAATGTCTTACCTTAAAGAAATAGGTTTATTCCAAAACATATAGCACCTATAATAGATCATCTGCCAATCATATTTCTATAAAACATGTTTACTCTGAAAGTATAAATTATTTACAAAATATCTGTAGTTGAAGTCATAAAATTGCAGACAAAATATTTAGATTTCAGCATTAGTGGTGTTGATACATCACTAAATTACAACAATCAAATCCTTGGGAATTTTTGAAGTCTATATCTGTACTTTTGTAAGCAAGTGAATTGGGTTTTTTTTAATCTGAAATCACTTAGTGGGTGGATTTAGATGTCACTGCTTTTTTTATTATTTGCAGATCTAGATATATACATGTATAATTAATCCTTTCAGCTTTAATGGATTGTATGCAAGTTATATACTAGATAAAAATGGTATTAAAGCATCATAGCATTTAATCCTTATAATTTATTCTATTTGGTTCAGTGGCCATATTTCCATTTTTGCTTCTTTTAACTGTTGGGACAATTCTTTTAGATGAAGATTCTTATCACAATGTTTCAGCTGCTCTACTCTTCAGCCTTCTGGAAGTTTAAGTTGCCAAATATGGAGCTCACCTGAAAAGGTGGCAATGTTGTGGCAAAAAATTTAAAAAAATAATGAAGAATGTATCTTGAAAGAATTGTTACAAAAGAGAAACATTTCATTTTAGAAATTCAGATATTTAGCAAGAAAACTTTGAAATGGATTCAGATATTAATAATGGTTAACAATGCCTCCTCGAATAAAAATGTATAACAAATATCATACTTCATAGTTTATAATTAAATCGAAAACATTTTTTAATTGTAATTTTGAAATTTTTTTCTGGATTTGTTTATAATCTCAGGTGTATTTTTTGTTTGTTTCTTGCAGCAACTTTCCCATGTTCAGCCACCTCATCAGTTTGAACTTCCACCACGTTTTCAAAAACGGCTAAAATCTGGAGGTAAGCTCTGTAATTATTTTGATGACTACAATGAAAGTTTTGGATTGCAGTGGGTACTTGAGTTTTTTTATTTGATGTTTTTATACTATGTAATACAATTCACTATTTGCTCACTATTAGTAAAGAACTGGTAATAGAAACCATTAACTATTTTAGTCTTTCTCAGATGGTTTTGTTCAGTCAACCTACTCTATCCTCTAGACATCAGTTTAAACTGCCACTGTCTTCATAAATTTTAATTTTGAAAACTTTCACTGGAATATATTGAAAATTTCCCAAGTCTTCCTGTGAAATCAAGAAAATATGAACTTTAAGCAAAATGTTTAAACTGACCCCTAAAAGATTTTTCTTGCAACAATACATTTTGCACATTCATAAATATACCATTTATCCATGCATTGAATAATGCTGTCATATCTGGTGTGACGTTTACACACCTGGCCCAGTGTCGGATCCTTTTGTTACGGCGCTTAGCGGTGACGTCGCCTCCTCCTGGTCGCTCCTCCTGGGTCCAAGGCCGCGCTCCAACCCTTTGGTCAGATGATCACCAGCCTTTTCCCGACTCGCTGCCCAATACCTGGTCACTAAAGCAACTATATACCGATCTCCGGGTCTGTCTACCCACACTGTGTTTAGATCTTAGACAGACGGGACCAGCAGGATCGGGGCCGATACAAGTTGAGTCCGACGGGGTGTAAAAACACAAATAAAATAAAACTCACGACACCAAACAAAATTGCTGATAAAAAAGGGTAACAACCTTTATATCTTAAAGTCCGTTACATAAAAAACAAATTGTTCTCATTTCCACCCGCGCTTGTGCTCTCATGGCACCAAGCTTCTATCACACAATAGAAAAATGTCGAATTACCTACTTTCTAGAATCATGTATGTATGTCGGAGTGTGGTTCAGTTCGACACTGGGGGCTAATTTCTATCGATCATTCGTAGTTGATTCTTCTCTCCGACTTGAGTTGTATTTCTTCTTCTTCTGCTTGGGCTGGTAGTTTTCCTGTTTCAACTTGGTGGAAGATTTCTTGTTTCAACTTAGCCGCAACTCTCTGTCGCCTGAGGTGGTCTCTTCTCACTGCCGTCCGAGCTGAACTTTAACTTCTCATCGACTTTCGGCTTGTCTGCAGCTCCAATTCTTCTCAGGCTTTCAGGCAACTTCTTCTTCGCTCTACTTGGGCTGGAAGTTCTTCTTGTCTGAGGGTTTTTTTCGCCGTCCGGAATGAACTGATTTTTTGTCGATTGGGGGCCCTGCTTTTTATTGACGCCAAGAACAAACTGGGGTGGGTCTGTCGGCATCAGGGTTTTCTCGATAATTCCAAAACTGCATTAATTCTGTCTTCCATTATCGCTATTGTTTTCCCTTTCTCGAGTACCTTTTGGTGGGCGCGACATCCATCTCTCTTAGTCTCTCAGATGTCAGGTGACCGCTTTTCAACCAATCGCTCTGATCGAGCATTTTTTCCCTTTTCTTCCAGAGGTCACGTGGATCGTATTCACCAATTGTTATTGATCAAACATTTCTTTTCCTTTTCTTTGATGAGGTCACGTGATCGCATTCACCAATTGTTATTGATCGAACATCCTCTCCCTCTGTTTCGGGCGTGGTTACATCGTTCTTGTTTAAAAAACAAAATCCAATTTTTCCCTTTTTGCACGCATTAAAAAATGACAATCTTTATTTCTCACCTGACTTTGTCAAACATTGCTGCTAATTAGTCTTGACTTTAGAAAGGATCTTCTTCTTGGCGCCTCTGTGAGCCAAAAGCAATTGTCCTCTTTTTACCTCTTTGTTTTTCCTGATAGTCGAAAATCTTAATTATCTACATTGAAATGTCTCTTTATTTTATTTACGTGGGTGTCCAATTCTTAACAGGTCTGTATATCGTTCCAGTCTCCCCCTCAACCCAAAGACACTTTTTTCTCTGATTAAAAAATTGTTTCATTGTTCCTAAAATTTTCTTTATCCAAATTGATAAGGTGTCTTTCCATGCAAAAGTAGGCTAGGTGCTCTGACCGACATTCTACCAAAATGACTTTTCGAAAATCGGCCAAGACGCTGACCTAAATCTCTTTCTGACTCCCTATCTAAACCCTCAATTGGGTCATGCGTCATACATTTCTTTCTTTCTTTTTTTTTTCCCTTCCTTCCTTTTTTCCTTTTCTTTTTCCTTCTTCTTTCCTCAGGATGTCTAGTAACTCTTAGTGAATTATTTTCAACTCAGTTATTTTCCTTAAAAAAAAAAAAAAATTAACAACCTGTTTAGTAACCGAGTAAGAAAAAATTAAATCATATTTCTATGAATATTTCTAATAATGCAAGGTGCCACAATGGTCTGGAGCTCCTGTAATATATCTCATGATTCTTTTCCAAAGAATGGTATTTCTTGTTATCAGTCATGGTCTGGTAGCTCTCTTTTTTTCTTTTTTATAAATATTTTCATGGCAATTGTTCTGATGAGTTCTCGTCCTTGGTACCTTGACTATATGAATTTAAGCATTCTACCAGATTGGCAACTAGGTCTTATTGTTTTACTGTTCAAATAGCTAGATGTAACTGTAAGCTCTATTCTAATAAGTCTATTTTCTTGTACTTTTGTTTTTTTTTTTTTTTTTTTTTTTTTTTTTGCTTCCTTGCCACAATCTTCATTTTTTTTTTTATATTGTCCTCTCTCCTAACTAAAATCTTCTCATTCTCTTTCACTCTCAGCAACTCCTGGTGTCTTAGTGACTTTATCAGCTTGCTTGTTGGTGTAATGATTAAAAAAAATAATTAAATTATGAGATATCTAAAGGTTATAAAAGTAAGTTGGATACTTGAGTGTCCTTGGATTTACTCTAGGAGAGAACACACACATATATTCAGTTATTCTAGTCTAGGTTGGTTAATCCAGAATTTGGAAACCCTTGCTGATCAATCCTTTAAAAAAAAAAAAAAATCTTAGGATCTCATCAGAGACTTTCAACTATCATAAAAGTTTTTATTGCCTAAGCATGAAGTCACCAAAAGAGATTTTGATATTCATATATGAAGACCTGAATGAATGAAACAACAAAGGAAGAGTTAGTACTGATTGCTTAGTTAGTTCTGATTAATGATATGAAGGAACATTCTCTAAATTTCTTTGTCATCTCTAATTTAGGGAATTGTTCTGTAGAACAAGTTTACCATATAAAAGCAACAGGAGACAACCAAACTAATGTCAACTTGAATCCTTAATTCACTATGGTTCAGTCTTTGACATTATTGTCCTGAAAACGTGGGGGCTGCTGGGATTGACTATGGGATGACCCTGGACTGGTGTGCATCCCCTTCACACCTACATGTGAGACAATGAGTTGCAACGGTTGGAAGGGTGGTGCAAGCTTGATTGGAACACCCCCCCCCCCCAAGCAGTGCTTTGTGACCTTTGCTATCTTATAAACATTTGCTTCTTTTCTACCTACATTTATATGTTACAGATTAAACTAAACTCAACTTGAATATTAAAGGATGAAAAGTTTTTGTGGATTTTGAAGTCGTTTTGTCTTTTTTTTTTTTTTTTTTTTTTTTTTTTTTTTATTCCTGTTAATCAGAATAAAACTAATAGTTGATAACTGCTGCTCCAAAATAGTTTAGCGATTGATTTGGGCCAGAGAATTTAGAATGCCTAATTTTGCCTTTTGAGGTTTTTTGTTTCTCTCTCTCAAAATATTTTGAGGTGAGCTTTGTTAGTAAAGAAAAAAGTCAAACTCATTAAAAGATTTTCCAAAATGTAATATTAACCTTCAAAATAAAGCTATTAAATCCCATACTCAAAACTGTAAAGTGGAAATGGAAAGTCTCATTAGATAATGGGTGACTTCCACAGGTAGCCACTAGATGAGCATAAGTTACCTCCTCCGGTGTTATATCAACAGCTGAGTGGCCAGGGGTCCAAGGGTATTTTTGTATCTTGTTGGTATGAGAATAAAGTAATTAAGAATTACTACTATCATTGTTGTTGTTGTTGTTATTTTACAAATGTAAGGTAGCAGCGAGCAGACGACGTATATCTGCCTCGATCCTCGCTGCCGTGAATGTCTTGTTTAAGTAGCCCTCTCGCCTCTCATGTAAGCGGCTAGTCTACTTCTATGGGGTGTGACGCCAAGACCATTCCGGTCTTGTAACTGGGCGTCTTAGGTTCGATTCCACCTCTACACGCCCCTCCCTTCCGGGGCCACAAGATACCGCGTTGTGGTCCAATGTTTTGAGGCTCTGGAGTAGTCGTGCGACGTGCCCCACGCCTGTGGGGATAGGTTCCTGGGTGGTCGCGTCACCCTTCTGCTCTGACCGCACCGGTTGGTCTTCCTCAACCTCCATCATTCCAGGGGATGCTGTGTCATCTACCTCCATCGGTTCTGGTAGAGTGTCGAATGTTTCGGGCTGGTTTTGATCCATATCAGTGGTGGACCATTCTCCCGGTATTTTGGGCCCTGTTGGGTTGTCTATGGTATCCAACATTCCTGGGGGCACCTGAGGTATCGAGTGGCAAGGAGTATCTACTACTGGGTTTATTTTTCGGAGGAATCTGCGATTGCGACGGGTTACCCGGTTACTCCCATCCATGCGTACATTATACTGCCGGTTACCCAGTGTTTCCACCACCCTTCCTGTCTTTGCCCATCGCGCGGGTATGGACCAACTTGGTTCTGTATCTGCACCGCTTTCCCGATTTTCAGTTCCTGAAGTGGGTGACTTTTTAGATTGTATTCTCTTTCATTCCTTAAGTGTCTTTTGCCATCGCTGTTTCCCTATAATGACTGATTTCTCTCCAGCGTTTGTGGATTCGATATCGGTCCTGGAGCACTGGGAGATGGTCCTTTATCACACGACCGTAGAGCATCATCGCTGGAGACATATGTAGGTCTCGTGCGGGGTGTTGCGATGAGTCAGTAGGGACCTAGCTGCCTGGTCATGGCATAGGCGACGCAACTGTCCGTGCTATCAACAAGTATCCTTTAGCCGTTTT